CACTAAACGAGCTGCACACGACAGCTTGTGGACAGAGCGCGGCTGCTGATACACGAAGCATTCTTGCGGATAAAACTCTAGAAAAGTGCACGAGAATCAGCGACTGGTAGGCGTACAGAGGAAACTCGGACCAGAATGAGGATCTGTTCGACAGCCAAGAAACAAGAGCCTAGAGACCTCGTAGAAGATTTTGTTTGGATTGACGGACTTGACACGGCAAGTGTGTGAAGGCCAAGAATTGACTGGAGAAGAACCGTCAGGACGCGTTACCTCTTTCTTCAGTAGGGCGATCGATCTTGCACACGATCGGTGTGTCGGGTATACAGTGCTTTCGCGAGTTGGAGAAAGTCAATGTTTCCAGGTTTCGAGAAATTTCGAGAGTGTACAGTAAGCTGGTCACCATAAGGGTGTCACCTAGGGCTCACGGGATCGATGTGCCAAAAGCTGGCGATCGATTGTGCAAGTGTGGGGATTGGGCAATTTTGCCCCACGAACTTTATATTTTGTCACTTGTGGCTCAGTGGAGCCCCACGTTCGGTAATCTGCAGTTGGGCACACCGATGTGCACACCGATCGTGGCAGAATCGGTGTTCAGCATCGATTCTGCCACGATCCTGCCAGTTTAGAAAGAGGTGACGCGTCCTTAGGAAACGCTGTCCTTAGAAAGTACTCGCTGTAAGTCCAAACACGATCAATTGCTAAAATGACTGCTGATGTACCGGTGTACCAGGTATCAATTCTCATATCCAACTTTGCAAATTAACAGGGCTTTCCTAACTGCATAGACCAGTGCACCACAGCATATAATCAACAATAAACGCAACCTTGTCAAACAGGTAAGTAGATTTCTATTGTTTCCAAAAGCTTTCATCTTGCTGCTTCAGCAACCGCTTCGCTTCAATAATTGACGGCTTGATGTTGTTCAGAGTGGCGGCAATAGAAAAATGGCTAACGGCTCGTAAGCATCGAATCAAGCCTTGGCATCCTTAATACTCCACAAAAGTGCCCCTGCACAAACAGAGAAACAGAAACTAGTGAGTGCATCAAATGTGAAAGCACCAACCAAGCAAGTTCATCCCATCCGCAAAACTCTGCGCACGAATTCTCACATTTGTGCATACAGCAAAGCAGATGAAGCGGCTGGTTGCGACCTGATCCAATGCATCCCAGACCTGCACGTGTGCAATTCACATGCAATATCAGGCAATACGAGACAATGCGATGAGAAGTGATGATGAGGCAGTGCAATCCGCGATGATGTGTCTAGCACCACTGTTAACTGCATCCAGACTGGTACTAAAAACATAAAATGAATAACGTAGCACGTAAATGTAAGTGCTACTTACTTTGCTATAGCAGAAGGGACACTGCTCCTTTGCGTCAAGAGGGCCACAGGAGAGGTTGCAATAGAGCCTGCAGAATTGATAAGTTAGGACAGCTCATAGGTGGTTTAAAGGACAATCTCACTTCGTCAGGAATTGCGAAGACAAGGGGAGAAAGCGATGGAGGTCCAAAGGAACGAGGCAGTACTAGACTTGTAGCTGGTGAATGAAAAGGCAGAAATGTGGGATGGCGAAGGGGAATCGGTAAGGATAGAAAGACAAGCAAGGCGGCAACAGAGAGGGAGTGAGGGAGGTGCAAGGAGAAAGAGAGTGTGCTGACTAAGCACCTGGTGTGTGTGAAGGCAGAAATGTAGCCACGGCAGACGGAAAGACCCCACCAATTGACAGGTGGCTTAAGCAGAGCAAACGATACTCCTGCCACCTCCTCAGCTTGATAGGAACAGTCAGCAGGAGGAGGACCGTCAGTTTGGGTGAGGCAGTCAGGTGGAGGGAGATAATCAGCTGCTGGAGCACCAGAGGCAGCACAAGCTCTCAACTGGCTTGGTCGAAAGAGATGGTCTATGCTGAGCTTAACATTATTCGAGAAGCATTTGTCTAGACGGCCAAACAGACCCAAAAACCGCCTGTTCAGCATGTAATGTGTCCTCACTTTCTTCATTGCTTCCCGCCCTTCTCCCTGCAGAAACCATGCGTTGCCAGTGGCAGTGACCGCCTCACTCACATGCAGCTGACGTACAGGTTCCATCTCTCCATTGCCCCTGAGTTTGTCTCTGCATCCGGCTGCTGCTACTGTGACCAACTGTCCCACGGTATCTACACTCGATAAATAATGCCTGGGAACTAGGGTTCTCCGGTTGGTGGGCACCACTTCTGCTACACCCAGTGCTGTGATCTGTCGTGCTGATTCAGAATCCCTTGCCCTCCTTTGTGCTTCTCTGAAAGCTGCTGCCGATGCCTCTGCTGGTGCTGCTTCTGCTGCTGTTTCTGCTTCTTCCGTTGCTACTATTGCTGCTGCTACTGCTGCTACTGCTGTTGCTTCTGTACTTAGCATGAATCCCTGAGCTGTGCGCAGCCCTCCCTTGAGAGCTTCACTAACAGCACGAGAAACACAGAGAAACTTTTTCCTGGCAGCACGGCAACACAACGACAGTCATTCCGGGCACAGCGGCAAAGAATCCGAGAACCCTTGACTCCCAGGAGCATTGGGATCAAAAGCACGACGAGCCAAGCCAATGCAGCCTTGGCCACAGAGAGGTATCTCCACTTTTGAGTCGCCTCTAAGGCCCACCTTACCCCGGTAACCACACTCTTGCACATGCTTGACAACGTCACGCGATGTCCCACGCCAGCAGCAGCATCGGTTTCACCTCGGGTTTCATCCCGGATTTCATCTCGGATTTCAGCTTCGGTGACATTCTCTGGTGGAACCGGGGTCGGTTGAGCGCGGCGGCGTAGTAGGTGCCGTTGCCGGCCTGAAGGCCAAAGATACAAGTCCATGATGTTTGGAGTGCGCAGGCTGAAGGGTACCTCGAGAATACCGGGAGAGTAGCTGAGAAGCCGCGGAGAAATTGCCTCGACTGGCCCTACCAGTGTTTCGATTCCCCGGATCAGTGGACGATCTCTTTTACAGGCAGCACATACTTCAGAAAAACAGCACTTGTCGCTCTCATTCGCAGTAAAGGATCGTTCCTGTGTAGTAGAGACCTGATTGGTTGGATCAATCTGTAAGCGACTGGACCTGTGGTGTTCCCGTATGCGGATGTGACAGTAGCGAGGCCAGAGGTGGGAAGTTGATATCCGGTGCAAGTGCTTGCACGTGATGGCTAGGTTGGCAATGGTGATTTGGAGCTGATGGGATGTCATACTCGTTATAGACGCAAGGAGCTCGGGAGTCAGATCCAGCAACCCGGTTACCCGCTCTTCGGTAGCAGCCGTGTTGTTCTCCTCCATTCATGCACTCTTAGGACAGCCAGACAGATGAAGCAGCTTTGGCCGGGGTTATCGGATTGTCACACTCCTCCGTCCGAAGCATCGTACGCCTTTCATCGCGGAAAAGAGAGAAAGGAAAAAAGGCTAAGGGGTATCCTGATGTCTATCCTGATTCAGGGACACTACTGGAGATAGGTTCCACCGCGTCTGGTCGATGTCGCATACGGTATGAATGGGTAGTCAGCCTCGAATTAAGATTTAAATCCTTTCGTGATGTCTCATAATGGTGCCTTCGAGAGTAATTTGTTTAGGTCTGCCATTAATACGTATGTGCTTTCGGTCAAAAATAGGAGATTTGACCATTGCGATCGAAAGACAACTCGCCGAGATGAATCTCGCTGTGAGGAAACTCCAGAACGGATTTAGCAGATCGACACAGAACCCAACAACTTGTTGACCTAGCCGTTGAGAGTTGAGTCGAGAGAAACTCGAAGAAAAGGCTCGTGAAGCTGGATTGACTCCCAAGAGTAATGCAAAATCGAGCGACACATCTAAACTCACTGACATGCTGCACACAGCAACTCGTGGACAGAGCATGCCTGCTAGTACACCCTCTTTGTCGCTACACTGACCCTCGCGTAACTGGATGGCAGATCGTGTCTTATTCGACTAAACAAACCGTACTAAAGCATACATCAACCGCGATAAACCGTAATCTTTCACTCCGGACGTCAGTATAGTGGACGTCAGTCTAGCGAGAAAGAAGGTGTACGTGAGGCATGCTTGCGGGTGAAACCTGGAAACTTGCGCGACTAGTAGCGACTGGTTGGAGCAGGAAATTTTGAGTTCAGTTTGTGAATAGTAGGTGACGGCATAGGGACTAGACTTCCATTTAGTACGGAATTCTGACTCAGGGGGCTCTGGCACAGTAGTATGTGAAGCGAAGAATTGACTCGAGAAGAAACGCCGAGAAACACTCGATAAAATGCGAATCAAAGGCTAAAAGACGCACAGGAATTTCCGTTGTAAATATGTACGTGAGGCATGCTCGGGTGAAATCTGGAAACTTGAGCGACTAGCAGCGACTGGTTGGAGCACGAGACTTTGACTATCGGTTGTGACTAGTAGGTGACTAGACTTGCAAATAGTACGGTGTTCTGGTTCGGAAGGGTTCGATTTAGTGGTACCGTATGTGAAGCGAAGAATTGACTCGAGAAGAAGCGCAGAGAATCACTCGATATACGTGCGACTGCGAATCAACTGCTAAAAAAAGCACTGTAATTCCCGATATATTTATGTGCTTATCTACTTGTAAATATACAGGACAGGGCAATCTAATCCATGGCACAGCATCTTCACTGTATGATCAGCAATTCAGAGGGTGCACGTGTACCTAATGGCGCATACATGTTGAAAGAAAAAATGTAAACAATAGTGAGACAACCCTGTACTGTAGAACAGGTGTCGTTCCTTAGTACAACTCCTATGATCCCAAGAGTTCTCATGCCATTCATTGCAACTGCTTTGCTCAGATTGCCGATGGCTTGATGTTGTTTCCAGCAGACGACGGCACGGTCCATCTCAATCCCCAACTTTGAAATCTCTGCCTTCACCTCAACCCTATCCGGCATGCTGTATCACTGCTGGAATTCTTGGAATGCTGGAATTGTTGGACTGCTGGAATTCTTGGAAGCTCATTTCACAACCCCAAGGTCGCCCCTTTGCTGCTCACTGCAACTGCTTCGCTTTGATGGCCGACGGCTTAATGTTGTTCCCAGCAGGCGACGGCACGGCCCATTTCACTCTCAGCTTTGCAATTTCCGCCTTCACCTCATCCCTCTCTCTTATCGCTGCTGCTATTTGCTGCTGCGCATCTGTCAATGACGTTTGCATGCGCTGCTTTGCTCGCTCCAATGCTTGAATCCTGGGTTAGGTTAAGAAAAAGGGAGGTAGACGGAGTGGGTGTGGAAGGAGGGGAAGAAGACTCTTTGATTCCATGTGCTTAAAAGGGCTATCACAGACAACACTTGCGGAGTAGGCACATTCTCGAATGCACTTGCTGCTCTCACTCACTGCTGCTGCTCTCACTCACTGCTACTGCTCACTCACTCACTCACTCATTCGCTGACCCAATTTCACCCACTGTTGCTCTCTCATTCACTCACTCCCTCATATTAACCCGCTGTTGCTCTTACCTGTTCCGCGCCTCAAAGACATTGGACGACTCAGATTGCAGCTTGGCTCTCAAATCAGCGATCTGGATGGAGTGAAATGGGAAGCAGGGATTGGAGGGATGGAACGTGGTGTGAAGTGGTGGGATAGGGTGGGGTGAGACGTCATGGAATTACAGCTTGGCTCTCAAATCAGCGATCTGGATGGAGTGAAATGGGAAGCAGGGATGGGTGGAGATGGGTGAGGAGGAGAGGACATGGAATTGCTTTAGATTGGAGTGGGTGGGATGGATGGCATGGAATTGGATTAGACTGGATGGGCTGCGATGGGATGGGCTGGGATGCGATGGGATGCGATGAGATGGGATGGGCTGGGATGCGATGGGATGGGATGGGATGGGATGGGATGGGATGGGATGCGATGGGATGGGATGGGATGGGATGGGATGGGATGGGATGCGATGGGATGGGATGGGATGGGATGGGATGGGATGGGATGGGATGGGATGCGATGGGATGGGATGGGATGGGATGGGATGGGATGGGATGCGATGGGATGGGATGGGATAGGATGGGCTGGGATGCGATGGGATGGGATGCGATGGGATGGGATGGGATGGGATGCGATGGGATGGGATGGGATGGGATGGGATGGGATGGGATGCGATGGGATGGGATGGGATGGGATGGGATGGGATGCGATGGGATGGGATGGGATGGGATGGGATGGGATGGGATGGGATGCGATGGGATGGGATGGGATGGGATGGGATGGGATGGGATGCGATGGGATGGGATGGGATGGGATGGGATGGGATGGGATGCGATGGGATGGGATGGGATAGGATGGGCTGGGATGCGATGGGATGGGATGCGATGGGATGGGATGGGATGGGATGGGATGCGATGGGATGGGATGGGATGGGATGGGATGGGATGCGATGGGATGGGATGGGATAGGATGGGCTGGGATGCGATGGGATGGGATGCGATGGGATGGGATGGGATGGGATGCGATGGGATGGGATGGGATGGGATGCGATGGGATGGGATGGGATGGGATGGGATGGGATGGGATGGGATGGGATGGGATGGGATAGGATGGGATGGAATGCATATAGCCCAAACCACCTGCTTATCCCGATCCATTACTCTCACCAACGCCTCCTGCCTCGCTGCCCCCTGCTGCTCCTCCCCCACCACTCCTCCGTTGCTCAAACACCCTCCCGACTCAGCACCCAGCGCACCACCAAGCCTTGACAACAAACCCACATAAGTCTAGTCGACCCACCTGCTTGTCTCGCTCCATCACTCTCTCCAACGCCTCCTGCCTCGCCACCCTTCGCTGCTCTTCCTTCCTAACACCCTGCTCTTATAGGCCACCTCGATATCCCACCAAACCCTTGTCAATCAACCCACCTGCTTGTCTCGCTCCATCACTCTCTCCATCGCCTCCTGCCTCGCCGCCCCTTGCTGCTCCTCTAGCTTCTTCATCTCCTCCTCCCTCACCGCACACACCATGTCCAGCATTCGAATCCGGTCCGAATGGTGCTGGTGGGAAGAAATGGGAACGGAGAGTTGGGGAAACGAGAGGGGGGGAAGGAAAGAGGCAGGGGTAGAAATGTGTTGTCTCCTCGTATTTTGGGAATCCTAAAGAAAGACCTACAAAAGGCGACTTTTGAGTCGACTGAAAAGTCACCTCGTTACAATCGCCTCAAAAGTCGCCTCAAAAGGACATGCTTCCTCTCCTCCTCCTCACCTTCACAGTCGCCTTGGCATCGTCCAGTTGCGAAGACAGCTCAGCAATCTGCCCCGCACGCACCGCCAGCTCCTGATTCGCCAGCGACAGCTCAGCGCGCTTCTCCGCCACGTCACCCTCGGCCTCCGCCACCCTGGCAACCGCCTTTGCCGCCACGTCATCCCTCTCCCTCTCCACCTCATCAACCCGCCTCTCCGCCTCTACGATCCTCTCCCTCAACCCCTCAATTCGCCCTTCCAAAACCTCCTTTTCCTCTTCCAACCCCTTCTTACTCCCTTCCAAACCCACAACCAGGTCTTTAAGCGCCATAATATCCTCTTCCCTCTCACAAATAACCTTCTCTTTGGCACTTAAACTCTCGTTTGCTTCCGCCAATCGTCCCTCCATCTCCTCTCGCAGCGCCTCTTTACCTTCTTGCAGACTCACCACAAGGTCCTGAAGCCCCCCAATAATCTCCTGCTTCTCTCTTAGAGTACTCTCCTTCTCGTTTATGCTCTTCTCTGCTGCACCCAATCGACCCTCCAGCTCTGCAGCCCGCTCCTCCTGCTGCTTCCCATGCCTTTCAGCACGCTCCACCTCCCCCCCTACCCTCTCCAACTCCCCCCTGGTTCCCTCCAGTTCCCGCTCGCTCCTCTCCAAATCGTTCATCGCACCTTCCAGGTTGCTTCTTGTGGTATCCAGAGCTCTGCTCCTGCCCTCTAGCTCACCCCTCACGCCTTCAAGCTCTCCCTTTGTCTTCTCCAACTCTTTTTTCTTCTTCTCTACCTCTCTTTTCACCGTACTCAACTCCTCACTTACGCATCTCACTTGCCCTCGCAGCACCTCTGCTTCTTTCCTTGACACTTTCAGATCTTGCTCCCTTTCCTCCAATTCCCTTGACATGGTGTGTTCCCTGTCTTCCAATTCCTGCTTTAGCTCCTTCACCCTCTCCTCTCCTTCCCTCTTTGTTTCATCCCTCTCGCTCTCCACTCTCACCCTCCTCTCCTCCTCTCTCTTCCTCTCCCCCTCCACTCTCCCACACTCCTCCCTCACTCTCTCTATCTCCTCCCTCGCCTGTGATACCTGTGCTTCCAGCTCCCTCTCTCCCTCCCTCGCCTCTCCCAGCAGCTGCAGAAGCTCCCCTTTCTCCCTCTCTTGCCCCACCACCCGCTCTCTCAACCGCTCTGCATCGGACTCGACCTGACTCAACCGTTCTTCCAACTCCCTCCCTCTCTCCTCCCCGCTCCTCGCTCTCTCCTCCGCACTCCCCAGTGCCGCTCTCAACCCCTCCAACTCACCCCAAGCTTGCTGCAATTCACTCGATGCTTGCTTTAACTCGCTCGATGCCCTCTCCACCTCACACCTCTCTCGTTCCAACTCCTCAGAAACCCTTCCCACTTCCCCCAACGCTCCCTCCTTCTCCTCCAGAACCCTCACAACCTCCCCCTGAAGCCTTTCCTCCTTGCTCCTCAACACCCCCACCTCTTCTTCAAGCCTCTTCCTCTCTCCCTCCACCCTTCTCAACTCCTCTCTCACTCTCACTCTCTCCTCTTCCCCTGTTGCTATCACCCCACACTGCCTCTCCACTTCCTCACTCAACGCATCAAGCCCCTTCGTTGCTTCCTCTCTCTCCTCCTCAGCCCTTCTCAGCCTCTCTTGAAAATCCCTCTTCTCTTCCTCTGCTGCTGCAACCATCTCCCTCACCGCCCCAACTTCCCCTCTCAGCTCCTCCCTTTCCCTCTCTACAGCCGCCTTCCCCTCTCTAAGCACACCAGCCTCCCACATTATGCTCTCCTTCTCTTCCACAACACTCCCCAGCTTTCCCCTCAGCTCCTCCCCCTCACCCGTCAACCTCTCCACCTCCCCTCGCAACCTCTGCCTCTCCTCTTGTGCCTCTGCGCATACCACCTGCACACTCGCCAACTTCTCTCGCAAATCTTCCATCTCTTCTCTTAACACCTCCCCTTCCTCCTCTGCCTCTCGAAACCCCCTTTCCACACTCCCTAACTTTCCCCTCAAGCCTTCCACCTCCCCTCGTAGCGTCTCAGCCTCCTCCCGTGCTTCCACACATTCCCCATGCACCATCTCTAGCTTCTTTCTTGCTTCCTCCCCCTCCCCTCTCAACCGTTCCACCTCTCCCCGTAACCTCTCCGCCTCCTCATGTGCTGCCGCCCGGTCCGCCTGAACAGCAGCCAGGTCCTCTGTTGTGGCCGCCAGGTGCCTCGCAATCCCGCTCAGGTGCTCGTCTTTTGCGCCCACCTGCCTCTCTGTTGCCGCCAGGTGTTTTTCCAGGTCCGCCAGGTGCTCCTTCAGGGCGGCAGATTCCAACCTGGCATCACCTAGCGCCTGCTCAGACACACTCAGAGACTCCCTTGTCCTCTCTAAAGCCTCCTGCGACTCGTTATAAGCCACCTGCGCTTCGCTTAAAGCCACTTGCAAGTCAGCAATCTCCCTCTCTCGCTCCCTTACCTCCGCCTTCAAACCGTCCACCTCCCTCTCGCTCTTCCCCACCTCCTCTTTCAATTCCTCCACTGCTCGCTCCCTCTCCGCCGCCACCGCTTTCATCTCACTCATCACCCTCTCCCTCTCTTCCAATCTACTCTTTAACTCACTAATCTCCTTTCCCTTGCTCCTCACATCAGCCTCAAGGCCTTCAATCACCCTCTCCCTCCCTTCCGCTCTGCTCCGCAACTCACTAACCTCCTCCTCCTTCCCTCTCAACCGAGCTGCAAGCCCTTCAACCACCTCCTCTTGCTCCTTCATTTTCCCTTCCAAAACAGCAACCTCTTTCCCCTTCCCCTCCACCCTCTCCCTCATCTTTCCAATCTCCTCCTCCTTCTCCCCCAATCGCCTTTCCATTTCAACCATCCTCCCCTCTCTCTCCTTCCCTTCTCTCTCAATCCTCCCCAGCTCCCTCTCCTTCTCCCTCATTCCTTTCTTCAGCTTCCCTATTTCCTGCTGCACCTGAGAAACCACCTGAGCCTTCTGCAGAATCTCCTGGGCCTTTGTTGAAATCTCCTGAGCCCTCAGCTGCAGGGTCGCTTCCAGGTCCTTCACTCGCCTCTCCTTCTCGCCCACCCTCCCCTCCAACTCACTCTTTTGTGACTCTAACGAAAGCACTTTCTGCTGCAACTCATTCATTTGTGACTTTAACAAAAGCACCTGTCTTTCCATCTCTCCTCTCTGTGACTGCAACAAACGCACCTCCTTCTCAGCCCCAGCAGCCCTCGTTTCAATCACACCCTTGGCTTCCTCAATCTCTTTCTTCTCCCTTTCGATACAAGCACACTTCCTCTCAACTTCTTCCCTCTCTGCAGTCACAAATGCCAGTCTCTGCTCAACCGCCCATTTCTCTTCAATCACACTATCCCTCTCCCTCTCTCCCTCCCCTCTTTCTCTCACTACCACTTCCAACCTCCTCTCTAGCTCTCCCTTACTTTTCATCATCTCATCTACCCGCCTTCCAATCTCCTCCCTCTCTCTCCTAACCTCCTCTATCCACCTCTCCGTCTTCCCTTTCTCTCTCTCAAGCCCCCTCACTCTCTCCTCCACCTGTCTCAACCGCTCCTCACCCTCCTTCACCTTCCTCTCTGCCACCTCCTTTCCATCTTCAGCCCTCTCTGCCCGCCCTATAGCCTCCTCTCTTTCCTTTACAACGCTGTCTCTCTCCTTCACTACTCGATCCCTCTCCTCTATAAGCTTCTCCTTTTCCTCTCTAAGCCTATCCCTCTCCTCTATAAGCTTCTCCTTTTCCTCTCTAAGCCTATCCCTCTCCTCCACTGCTTCCTTTCTCTCTGCCTCAACTCGCCTCTTCGCCCTTTCTGCCCTTTTTTTTGCCTCTTCTGCTGCTGTTTTTTCCTCCTGTGCCCGCTTCTTTCCCTCTTCTGCTGCTGTCCTCTCCTCCTCTGCCCGCTGCAACCTTTCTTCTGCCCCTCTCAGGGCTTCTTCTGCCCGGCATCTTCCCTCCTCTGCCTCTCTCCACTTCACCTCCATCTGCCTCCCTTCTCTCTCCCTCTGCTCAGCCCTCTCTCTCTCCTTCTCCCTCGCCCTTTCCCTCTCCCTCTCCCTTTGCTGCTCTTCCCTCCCTTCCAATTCACACTGCAGAGCCTTCAAACGCTGTAACGAATCAGCTTTTAACGAGTCCATCTGAAAAGAAAGGGGCGGAGAGAAGGAACAGTCAGCGTTCACCAAAAAAAAAAAAAAAAAAAAAAAAAAAAAAAAAAAAAAAAAACGTGTATGTGCGCCCCCCACTCCCTCCCTCTCCCCTACTTTTCTTCTCTCTCGCCCACATCCGCCCAAACCCTCCCCTCCCCATCCCCACAACTGGCATGCACTCACCACTCGAGAGCTCCTCAACCCTTCTCACGGCAGCTGCTTCTATCCCAGCCGTCAACACTCGTTCATACAAATTCACCCATACCCATCCACGCCCATCCAAACCGAATCCAACCCATCTGCAGCCATCCACTCACCTCCCTCTCTAGCTCCTCCACCCTTCTGACTGCAGCTGCTTCAATCTCAGCTCGCAACACCCTCTCCTCCTCCACCCTCTCCGCCACTCGCCTGCTCCACTTCTCAGCCACTCGCACACCCATCCACACCCTTCCAGATCCACCCATACCCATGCACATCCACCCGTACCCCTCCCAACCCATCCAAACAGATCACTCACCTATCTCTCTAGCTCCTCCACCCTTCTCACGGCAGCTGCTTCAATCTCAGCTCGCAACACTCGCTCCTCCTCCACCCATCCATACCCATCCAAACCGAACCCAACCCACACAAATTCATTCGCACTCACCTCTCTCTCTAGCTCCTCCACCCTTCTCACGGCAGCTGCTTCAATCTCCGCCCTCAGAACCCTCTCCTCCTCCACCCATCTATACCCATCCAAACCGAACCCAACCCACACAAATTCATTCGCACTCACCTCTCTCTCTAGCTCCTCCACCCTTCTCACGGCAGCTGCTTCAATCGCCGCCCGCAACACTCTCTCCTCCTCCACCCTCTCTGCCACTCGCCTGCTCATCTCCCCCATCGCCTCTGCTGCCTCCTCCGCCCGCTGCTGCTCCTGCTGCACCTGCGCCTGTTGGGGGTGATACGGGGGGGGGGGGGGGGGGGGGGGGGGGGAAAGAGGGGTAGGGAAGGGAGGAACGGGAAGGAAAGTGGGCAGGCTTGTTGGTCAGGAGGGAAAGGGGAAGAGGGGTGACTGGTAGGGGAAGAGGGAACGCGCACACAGCATTCAGCCTCCCCACAAATGTCCCCCTCCCCAATCTGTCTCCTCCACCCATTTGCAGCAGCAAATTTCCCGCCCTTTCCCTTTGGCCCTCTCCACCTTCCTCATTCACCCACCACAGTCACCAACCGCAGTCACCAACCGCAGTCACCAACCGCAGTCACCAACCGCAGTCACCAACCGCAGTCACCAACCGCAGTCACCAACCGCAGTCATCAACCGCAGTCACCAACCGCAGTCACCAACCGCAGTCACCAACCGCAGTCACCAACCGCAGTCACCAACCGCAGTCACCAACCGCAGTCATCAACCGCAGTCACCAACCGCAGTCACCAACCGCAGTCACCAACCGCAGTCACCAACCGCAGTCACCAACCGCAGTCACCAACCGCAGTCACCAACCGCAGTCACCAACCGCAGTCACCAACCGCAGTCACCAACCGCAGTCACCAACCGCAGTCACCAACCGCAGTCACCAACCGCAGTCACCAACCGCAGTCAACCTACCGCAGTCAACCTACCATGGCATGTTTCAATTCTGATTCAGCAGCAGCAACTTTCCTCCTCAGCTCCTCCCCTTCCGCCCGTACCCTCCCCACCTCCCCTCTCTCCTTCTCCAATTCCCCCTGCATCCGCACAATCTCCCCCCTTAGCCTCCCCACTTGCCCCTCAACTTCCCCCGCCCTCGCCCTCTCCCACGCCAGCTCTCTCTGAACGCTTTCCAGCTGTTTCTTCCCTGCCGCCAGCTCACTCCGGACCTCGCTGAGCTGGCGCTGAGTCAGCACCAACCGCTGCTCCGTCATCTCCAGCCACTGCGTTGCCGCCTTGTGCCGAACCTCCCCTAGCCTGTTCCGAGCCTCCGACTCCTTGACCCGAGCCTCCGCGTCCTTGTACCGAGCCTCAGCCTCGGCATGCCGAGCCTCACATTCCTGCATCTCCTCTATAAGCTTAGCCATGGCGGAAGCATACCCCCCTGTCACATGCGCGCGCCCTATTCCCCCCAAGGGGCTCTTCCGCTTTCCCCCTTCTCCCCCTCCTCCCCCCGCGCCTTCCCCCTTCTCCCCTCCGCCTCCCCCTTCCGCGCCTCTCCCCCTTCCCCCTGCTTCCAGCCGCGCTTGGAAAAGCTCCCCCTGTGTTTCCGCCAGCTGCTTTCTCATCTGCTGCATCCGAGCCTGCGCAGCTTCGTGCCGAACCTCCAGCTCCCGCTGCCGAGCCTCAGACTTGGTCAGGTCCGCCTTCAGGTCCCTTTTCTGTGCTTCGGCCTCGCGGATCCGAGCCTCAGCTTCGGCATTCCGAGCTTGGGAGTCCTGCAGGCTTGGCAGCAGAAGACGGAGAATGCATGTAAGTGTGTACTCGTTATAGCATCCCTTCAAGAAAAAAAAAAAATCTCAATTCTCTCACCTTAAGCTCCTGAATCAACTTTGCAACAGCAGAACTATTCCCGACCGCTGCACCATCCACACTGCCGCCCACAGTGCTCCCAAACCCGCTCGCCAGAATGCTGGACAGACTCAGTTGCTGCTTCGCCCGACCGCTCACAAACGCACTTTCCAGGAAGCTACTGCCCCTCATCGCTCCCAACTCCGGGAACTTTTCTTTCCCTTCCCAGTCGCTTTCGCCGTTGCCGCCCAAATCGTCTCGTTGTGAGAAGATCCGATTCTCTTCCTCCTCGTCCGAGGTATCGCCCTCCCCCTCCCCTTCCCCATCCATGGCTATAGACACGAGGTCTAGAGTCAAGTCGTCACTCGCGTTTTCAAACTCATTCCTTTTTCCCTCCCCCTCCCCCTCCCCACTCCCATTCCCATTCCCATTCCCCTTCTCTTCCTCCTCCACCTCCCCCTCCCCCTCCATTGCTATCGTTGCAAGGTCTAGAACTCCCATTTCTGCCCCTGCCGCTGCTGGTGGTGCTGCTGCTGCTATTGCCCCTGCTGCTCCTCCTCTTGCTGCCCCTCCCGCTGCTCCCCATGTTCCTGCCCCTGCCCCTGTAGAATCCATGAACCCTCCTGTTAGTACTTCTCCCCTCCCCTCACCTCCTCCCCCCTCGCTCTCCTCTCCGCCCTGTTCCCCTCCTCCTCCCCCTCTTCTCTCCCCTCCCTCGTCCCCTCGTCCGTCGATAGACACACGGTATCCGTTGCTGGTCGACGCTGCTTCCTCTCCTCCCGTCCCTTTCGAAAGGCGATGGTATGGACTCGCGGTGAACCCTCCACTTCCTCCTCCTCCTCCTCCTCCTCCTCCTCCCTCTCCCCCATCTCCACCCGCTCCTGCCGCAAAGTAATGGTGAGGGCTTTGGGTAGACGTTCCTCCCTCTCCGCCAGTTCTTGCCGGGAAATAATGATAAGGACTCGCGGTGGATCCTCCGTCGGTGAAAAACGATTCTGCCGCTGAGTGCGCGTCATCCTCCTCCATTTCCACGTCATCAACCGACGCCGCCACGTCACCGTCCACGCTCCTTCGCGGCGCCTGGAGCGACTCTACTTGCGACTCCGACTTGCGGAGTTTGTTTTCCGCGACTTGCGGCGAGTCATGAAGGCTCTTTTCTTCTAGATGCCGAGTCGCCTTGGTATCGCCATGGCGGCCGCGTTTGGCGCTCGCAGGCGAATCGGCGACGAGGCCGTTACCAGCGTACGCTGTCGCCACGGGCGAGTTGCTTCCGTCGTGCGCTGTCGTTATCGGCGAACCGCGACCGGCATACACGCGCCGCTGCCCCATAATCGACTGCGCGAACGAGCCGCCGCCTGCGTTAGTGGGCGCTCCCACGCGAAACATTGTCGAAACAGAAAACGGCTATCTTCCTAACGCGTATGCAAAGGAATCCAGTAGCGGGTTCGCGGTGGCAATACGAAGCGCGCCAAAGCTGAGTCCTAGATAGTTGTATGCGATTTTAAATACGTGTATGTCAACAGACTGAGTAGCGCGAGGGGAATGTAATGCGCTAAGAGCTAGGCCTTGAAATGAATCACGCTAAAGGCCTAAGCAATTGGTTCATGTTTGATCGAAACGCGGTCCTTGCGGATATTGCGCTAACGGCCATTCTGACGCACTGCCGGTGAACGAGCCATCAATGGCGCCGATGTCGTTCCGCCGTAATAGCCGGCAGCCATGGGAGCAGCTCCTAGCGGTGTTAAGGCGCCTAAGAGATCAGCTTCTTAGGGATGTAAACGAACTGAAGGGAATGTCTTGGCGGAATTACCGGCAAAACGGAATGTGTTAGCAGTCGTGCGTGTATAATTTCATGGGGCGTTTTTTCGTGGGAATGAGCAGCAAGACAAGAGAACCTACTAGTACGTATTGTGTGGTTCGAGGGAGGGAGAGTGGCATAGCAATGGTTTGGCACGGCAGACCACCTATACACGACCACCCTCATCGGGGGTAGTAAGGGCGTGGAACATTTGGGCTATTTTTCCGAACGAAATTACGGCTCGGAAAATTACCGCTCTGAAACGTATTGAAGCCTACTTTAAAAAAGCGTTTAATAATTGGACCATTTTCAACCGTTCTGTCGGTGCGGTTCGTTTGAAAAAAATCCGAAATGTTTCACGCCCTAAGGGTGCACCATGGATGCGATGTAGGAAGAGATGGTGGTGTTAGGTTGGTTGTGTAGGGAAACCAAAAGCGGATGACCCGCAAGTGCGAACTGAAGACGAGAGTGGTAGGGGCGATTTGCGTCGTCGTGCGAAAAAACAAAATCGCCACTTTTAGGGCGTGGAACATTTGAAAAAATCGCCACACGAACCGTACGGTTAGAACGGTTCAAAATGGTCTATTTGGTACAGGCTATGCTAAAGTTGGGTATAGTACGTTTTAGAGCGAAAATTTTCGAACTGTACCGTTCGATTGTAAATTTTCCAGTGTTCCACGCCCTTACCCACCAAGGAGCGATATTTCTTTCCTCGGATGCAAATTCTGCTTTCGGCTTCACCAAACCAAGCCAACCACCCACCAGACTGTAGGCCAAGACCAGACCTGAGCTTGTTCCCGAACGTGTAACGTAGCGAAGCACCCAAACACAAGACCACAACCAGTGACGCGGCACCGTTCGCGTCTCGGAATGGTTTGGCAAAGCGTACGCGCTGAAGCCGAAGCCCAACCAAACCAGACATTCCGGCATGAAGCATGTTTGGCTGTGGCTTTTGCCACTTTATGGGTATCACTGGTGTGGCGACGTTCGGCCGAAGCAAAATCACGCCTCGCTGCCACTCGGTAGCCGAATCACAGGCCGTGAGACCTCACTTGCCACGTCATGGATCTCGTTCGGTAAAGCTAAAAGCGATACAAAACTTGGTTTGCAATTCCGAGCCTTGCCATATGGTCGGGCCACGGAGTTCGTTACAGCTGCACTCGAATTATGCCATAGCAACGCTCAAGCTACTGTGGGAAAAAACATTTCACTAAATGCAATGTAGAAGTCAGCTCCACTCCACCCCCCTATTTGGCCACACAAGTACAGAAGAAATTGGGGCAATTTTAGTGAATACGACAACGTCCGCATTCTTCTTTTAAGCAGAGAAACACCAACCTTGCCTACAATGTATCACTAGTACCTGCTCTACATAAAACACTCACCACTATATCAAAACTCAGTATAAGGGATGATCATCACACCAACAATGCGAGCACACCAGCGACCAGCACAGTAAGCATCGAACCCTGACCAAAAAACACTGTCGAGCCTGCTGCTTTGCCAGGGCTGCTCGAGTTACTGCTGCCAGCAGCACTAGAGTTACCGCCTGCTGGACTCCCAGGTGCGGGCGGAGACGAAGCAGCAGGAGAACCCCCAGGTGCAGGCGGAGACGAAGCAGCAGGAGAACCCCCAGGTGCAGGCGGAGACGAAGCAGCAGGAGAACCCCCAGGTGACGAAGCAGCAGGAGAACCCCCAGGTGCAGGCGGGGCGGAGGCTGACGGAGGGGCGGCGCCATCCGTCTGGTTGTGGCAAAAGTCGGGGACGGTGCGGTTGAGGACTTTGAGGTATTCGGGGTGGGCGGCAGTGTCGAGGAGATTGGAGGGACACGTGGCGGGGAGGATGAATGGATCGCAGCAGCCTGCAGCAGCAGGGAGGGGCCTTCCTGTCATGTTCCAACAGGCCTTGAGGGCGGGCTGGAGGGGAGAAAGGGTTGGGTGGGAGGGAGAGGGGACGGGGGAGACAGGCACATCGAGAGGGAAAAGAGCGGAAGGGCGGTGGGTGTGAGAGTGTCGAGGAGATTGGAGGGACAGGCGGCGCCTGTCATGTTCCAACAGGGCGTGGGGGCAGGCTGGGGAAGGGGAGGGGAGAGAGGCGTATGGAAAGGGCGACTGAACAAAGGGATTGTGGGTTGGGACATCGGTGGGGAGATTGTGGGTTGGGACATCGGTGGGGAGACTGTGGGTTGGGACATCGGTGGGGAGATTGTGGGTTGGGACATCGGTGGGGTGATTGTGGGTTGGGACATCGGTAAGGAGATTGTGGGTTGGGACGCCGGTGGGGAGATTGTGGGTTCGGACGCCGGTGGGGAGATTGTGGGTTGGGACACCGGTAGGGAGATTGTGGGTTGGGACATCGGTTGAAGGTGTCCGGGCTGTTGACAAAGGATGCGCCACCAAGCTACTGCAAGCAGTACAAGAGAATGACTCACATCCACGAAGTTGACTTGAAGGTCCTTGATGCCCACAGCGGTCGCAAACCCTTGAAAGAGCTGCCGGGTGAACGTGTCTGGGCTGTTGACAAAGGAGCCGAGCGTGCCGGGGAACCCGGGGACTGCAAGGGCGGGGAGTTGGGAGGAAAAGGAGAGAGGAGGAAGAAGGAAAAACATGACTGCTGCAACACATTCTTGCACACCTGGCAAACCTCCCGACCCTCCCCCTTTTGCCCCCTTTCCCCCTCCCCCCTCAACACTCACAGGTCACGTCCTTCACAGCGCCGTAAAATTGCTGCGACAAGTTCTTGCACACAGAAGCCGTGGGCTCTTTCCGTGCGATACTCACACGCTTGCACAACCACACCCACACTCACACACCCATGCACCCACACACTCACACGTCACGTCCTTCACAGCGTCGTACAACTGCTGCAACAGGCTCTCGCACACCTGGCGAAACCCCCCACCCCAACCCCTTCCCCCTTCCCCTCCCCCCCCTCCCCCTTCTTCCGCCACCAACACACTCACACGTCACCTCCTTCACAGCATCGTAGAATTAAAGCGGCCGGCCACGTTCTTGCATACCGACCCAGCGTGGAATCATGTCATTACACCCATTCAGCACAGCACCCCTCTTTCGTTAAAACTCACACGTCACATCCTTCACACCTTACACTCACATGCTCTTACAGTCACACTCACAGGTCACGTCCTTCACAGCGTCGTAAAATTGTTGCGACACGTTCTTGCACACAGAAGCCGTGGGCTTGGGGAGAATCGTGAAATACGAGCCGCTGTCTGCTCGAGGAAGGGGGAGGGGTTAGGGTGGGGGGAGTGAGAGAGGTTGAGAGCGGTGGGGAGGGGTTTGCATGCCTGCGCAATTGACTGAGCAATTGGTGGGAGTGGAGATTGCATGTGTCTTCTGAACGCCTCGAAAGTGGGTACAGAGATGGGGGAGTGAGGAGATTAGCATGTGCGAGCGTCTTCTGAACGCCTCGAAAGTGGGTACAGAGATGGGGGAGTGAGGAGATTAGCATGTGCGAGCGTCTTCTGAACGCCTCGAAAGTGGGTACAGAGATGGGGGAGTGAGGAGATTAGCATGTGCGAGCGTCTTCTGAACGCCTCGAAAGTGGGTACAGAGATGGGGGAGTGAGGAGATTAGCATGTGCGAGCGTCTTCTGAACGCCTCGAAAGTGGGTACAGAGATGGGGGAGTGAGGAGATTAGCATGTGCGAGCGTCTTCTGAACGCCTCGAAAGTGGGTACAGAGATGGGGGAGTGAGGAGATTAGCATGTGCGAGCGTCTTCTGAACGCCTCGAAAGTGGGTACAGAGATGGGGGAGTGAGGAGATTAGCATGTGCGAGCGTCTTCTGAACGCCTCGAAAGTGGGTACAGAGATGGGGGAGTGAGGAGATTAGCATGTGCGAGCGTCTTCTGAACGCCTCGAAAGTGGGTACAGAGATGGGGGAGTGAGGAGATTAGCATGTGCGAGCGTCTTCTGAACGCCTCGAAAGTGGGTACAGAGATGGGGGAGTGAGGAGATTAGCATGTGCGAGCGTCTTCTGAACGCCTCGAAAGTGGGTACAGAGATGGGGGAGTGAGGAGATTAGCATGTGCGAGCGTCTTCTGAACGCCTCGAAAGTGGGTACAGAGATGGGGGAGTGAGGAGATTAGCATGTGCGAGCGTCTTCTGAACGCCTCGAAAGTGGGTACAGAGATGGGGGAGTGAGGAGATTAGCATGTGCGAGCGTCTTCTGAACGCCTCGAAAGTGGGTACAGAGATGGGGGAGTGAGGAGATTAGCATGTGCGAGCGTCTTCTGAACGCCTCGAAAGTGGGTACAGAGATGGGGGAGTGAGGAGATTAGCATGTGCGAGCGTCTTCTGAACGCCTCGAAAGTGGGTACAGAGATGGGGGAGTGAGGAGATTAGCATGTGCGAGCGTCTTCTGAACGCCTCGAAAGTGGGTACAGAGATGGGGGAGTGAGGAGATTAGCATGTGCGAGCGTCTTCTGAACGCCTCGAAAGTGGGTACAGAGATGGGGGAGTGAGGAGATTAGCATGTGCGAGCGTCTTCTGAACGCCTCGAAAGTGGGTACAGAGATGGGGGAGTGAGGAGATTAGCATGTGCGAGCGTCTTCTGAACGCCTCGAAAGTGGGTACAGAGATGGGGGAGTGAGGAGATTAGCATGTGCGAGCGTCTTCTGAACGCCTCGAAAGTGGGTACAGAGATGGGGGAGTGAGGAGATTAGCATGTGCGAGCGTCTTCTGAACGCCTCGAAAGTGGGTACAGAGATGGGGGAGTGAGGAGATTAGCATGTGCGAGCGTCTTCTGAACGCCTCGAAAGTGGGTACAGAGATGGGGGAGTGAGGAGATTAGCATGTGCGAGCGTCTTCTGAACGCCTCGAAAGTGGGTACAGAGATGGGGGAGTGAGGAGATTAGCATGTGCGAGCGTCTTCTGAACGCCTCGAAAGTGGGTACAGAGATGGGGGAGTGAGGAGATTAGCATGTGCGAGCGTCTTCTGAACGCCTCGAAAGTGGGTACAGAGATGGGGGAGTGAGGAGATTAGCATGTGCGAGCGTCTTCTGAACGCCTCGAAAGTGGGTACAGAGATGGGGGAGTGAGGAGATTAGCATGTGCGAGCGTCTTCTGAACGCCTCGAAAGTGGGTACAGAGATGGGGGAGTGAGGAGATTAGCATGTGCGAGCGTCTTCTGAACGCCTCGAAAGTGGGTACAGAGATGGGGGAGTGAGGAGATTAGCATGTGCGAGCGTCTTCTGAACGCCTCGAAAGTGGGTACAGAGATGGGGGAGTGAGGAGATTAGCATGTGCGAGCGTCTTCTGAACGCCTCGAAAGTGGGTACAGAGATGGGGGAGTGAGGAGATTAGCATGTGCGAGCGTCTTCTGAACGCCTCGAAAGTGGGTACAGAGATGGGGGAGTGAGGAGATTAGCATGTGCGAGCGTCTTCTGAACGCCTCGAAAGTGGGTACAGAGATGGGGGAGTGAGGAGATTAGCATGTGCGAGCGTCTTCTGAACGCCTCGAAAGTGGGTACAGAGATGGGGGAGTGAGGAGATTAGCATGTGCGAGCGTCTTCTGAACGCCTCGAAAGTGGGTACAGAGATGGGGGAGTGAGGAGATTAGCATGTGCGAGCGTCTTCTGAACGCCTCGAAAGTGGGTACAGAGATGGGGGAGTGAGGAGATTAGCATGTGCGAGCGTCTTCTGAACGCCTCGAAAGTGGGTACAGAGATGGGGGAGTGAGGAGATTAGCATGTGCGAGCGTCTTCTGAACGCCTCGAAAGTGGGTACAGAGATGGGGGAGTGAGGAGATTAGCATGTGCGAGCGTCTTCTGAACGCCTCGAAAGTGGGTACAGAGATGGGGGAGTGAGGAGATTAGCATGTGCGAGCGTCTTCTGAACGCCTCGAAAGTGGGTACAGAGATGGGGGAGTGAGGAGATTAGCATGTGCGAGCGTCTTCTGAACGCCTCGAAAGTGGGTACAGAGATGGGGGAGTGAGGAGATTAGCATGTGCGAGCGTCTTCTGAACGCCTCGAAAGTGGGTACAGAGATGGGGGAGTGAGGAGATTAGCATGTGCGAGCGTCTTCTGAACGCCTCGAAAGTGGGTACAGAGATGGGGGAGTGAGGAGATTAGCATGTGCGAGCGTCTTCTGAACGCCTCGAAAGTGGGTACAGAGATGGGGGAGTGAGGAGATTAGCATGTGCGAGCGTCTTCTGAACGCCTCGAAAGTGGGTACAGAGATGGGGGAGTGAGGAGATTAGCATGTGCGAGCGTCTTCTGAACGCCTCGAAAGTGGGTACAGAGATGGGGGAGTGAGGAGATTAGCATGTGCGAGCGTCTTCTGAACGCCTCGAAAGTGGGTACAGAGATGGGGGAGTGAGGAGATTAGCATGTGCGAGCGTCTTCTGAACGCCTCGAAAGTGGGTACAGAGATGGGGGAGTGAGGAGATTAGCATGTGCGAGCGTCTTCTGAACGCCTCGAAAGTGGGTACAGAGATGGGGGAGTGAGGAGATTAGCATGTGCGAGCGTCTTCTGAACGCCTCGAAAGTGGGTACAGAGATGGGGGAGTGAGGAGATTAGCATGTGCGAGCGTCTTCTGAACGCCTCGAAAGTGGGTACAGAGATGGGGGAGTGAGGAGATTAGCATGTGCGAGCGTCTTCTGAACGCCTCGAAAGTGGGTACAGAGATGGGGGAGTGAGGAGATTAGCATGTGCGAGCGTCTTCTGAACGCCTCGAAAGTGGGTACAGAGATGGGGGAGTGAGGAGATTAGCATGTGCGAGCGTCTTCTGAACGCCTCGAAAGTGGGTACAGAGATGGGGGAGTGAGGAGATTAGCATGTGCGAGCGTCTTCTGAACGCCTCGAAAGTGGGTACAGAGATGGGGGAGTGAGGAGATTAGCATGTGCGAGCGTCTTCTGAACGCCTCGAAAGTGGGTACAGAGATGGGGGAGTGAGGAGATTAGCATGTGCGAGCGTCTTCTGAACGCCTCGAAAGTGGGTACAGAGATGGGGGAGTGAGGAGATTAGCATGTGCGAGCGTCTTCTGAACGCCTCGAAAGTGGGTACAGAGATGGGGGAGTGAGGAGATTAGCATGTGCGAGCGTCTTCTGAACGCCTCGAAAGTGGGTACAGAGATGGGGGAGTGAGGAGATTAGCATGTGCGAGCGTCTTCTGAACGCCTCGAAAGTGGGTACAGAGATGGGGGAGTGAGGAGATTAGCATGTGCGAGCGTCTTCTGAACGCCTCGAAAGTGGGTACAGAGATGGGGGAGTGAGGAGATTAGCATGTGCGAGCGTCTTCTGAACGCCTCGAAAGTGGGTACAGAGATGGGGGAGTGAGGAGATTAGCATGTGCGAGCGTCTTCTGAACGCCTCGAAAGTGGGTACAGAGATGGGGGAGTGAGGAGATTAGCATGTGCGAGCGTCTTCTGAACGCCTCGAAAGTGGGTACAGAGATGGGGGAGTGAGGAGATTAGCATGTGCGAGCGTCTTCTGAACGCCTCGAAAGTGGGTACAGAGATGGGGGAGTGAGGAGATTAGCATGTGCGAGCGTCTTCTGAACGCCTCGAAAGTGGGTACAGAGATGGGGGAGTGAGGAGATTAGCATGTGCGAGCGTCTTCTGAACGCCTCGAAAGTGGGTACAGAGATGGGGGAGTGAGGAGATTAGCATGTGCGAGCGTCTTCTGAACGCCTCGAAAGTGGGTACAGAGATGGGGGAGTGAGGAGATTAGCATGTGCGAGCGTCTTCTGAACGCCTCGAAAGTGGGTACAGAGATGGGGGAGTGAGGAGATTAGCATGTGCGAGCGTCTTCTGAACGCCTCGAAAGTGGGTACAGAGATGGGGGAGTGAGGAGATTAGCATGTGCGAGCGTCTTCTGAACGCCTCGAAAGTGGGTACAGAGATGGGGGAGTGAGGAGATTAGCATGTGCGAGCGTCTTCTGAACGCCTCGAAAGTGGGTACAGAGATGGGGGAGTGAGGAGATTAGCATGTGCGAGCGTCTTCTGAACGCCTCGAAAGTGGGTACAGAGATGGGGGAGTGAGGAGATTAGCATGTGCGAGCGTCTTCTGAACGCCTCGAAAGTGGGTACAGAGATGGGGGAGTGAGGAGATTAGCATGTGCGAGCGTCTTCTGAACGCCTCGAAAGTGGGTACAGAGATGGGGGAGTGAGGAGATTAGCATGTGCGAGCGTCTTCTGAACGCCTCGAAAGTGGGTACAGAGATGGGGGAGTGAGGAGATTAGCATGTGCGAGCGTCTTCTGAACGCCTCGAAAGTGGGTACAGAGATGGGGGAGTGAGGAGATTAGCATGTGCGAGCGTCTTCTGAACGCCTCGAAAGTGGGTACAGAGATGGGGGAGTGAGGAGATTAGCATGTGCGAGCGTCTTC